AGAGAGAGAGAGAGAGAGAGAGATTGTAAATAACAATAATTTATAAGTGGTTGATTATTTTTGACCACTAATACCGACCGAAATCGGTCGGTATATTCATAATAATTTTTAAAACTTATTTTTGTGATGGAAAAAAATAATTGAGCCTGGGCGGGAAAATTTAAATCAAAATTTTTGACCGAATTCGGCCGGTATACTTGAATTTTTTAATTAAACCTTTTTTGGTAGATAATATGCCAGTCTAACCATGATGTCAAATATTGACCAATTTCCGACCGAAATCGATTGAAACTTTTATATGTGTCAGACAAAACACTGTTTCTTTATTGTGAAACCACTTTTTCCGATCGAAAGTGGTCGGTATTTTTTAGTAAAACTTTTTATTTGACTTTGGCGACCGATTTAGATATTTTCCGACCGTTTTCGTCTGTATGGTTTGGACGGATTTTGGCACATTTCTACTGGTGGGTGTCCTTATCAGCTTTCATGCAAAAATACATACAGCATTTTTGACTTATTTAACGGTGTAAGAAGTTTGTACTCTGTATGATTCAATTCATATTAATTTAAGTTCATTAGTAAAATCAATTTAAAAATAATTTCTTAAATAATATACATTATACCAAAATTTTATTACGTTGTTATTGTATATAAATAAAATCGTGACAAATGGCATCGGAATGTCAAAAAGGTGGTTTATCGAAGAATTATTTGCGGCATAGTGAATTAGGAAGCTTTATTCCTGCCGTGCTAATGAAGTTCCCTTATTATATAGATATTTGAAAATGACAATGATTGGTGTACTAATATTTTTACTGCTATGTCGAATAACTTCACATAACTAATATTCCACATAAATTCCTTATAACTTTTTGTGCCAGCTTCTAGCTGATGCTCAATATATATTCTTTGCGTACATGTGACTATTTCTATGCCTAAGATTCCTATTATCAGAACTGGAAAAATCAGTTCAGTGACGAGAATCTCAATTTAAATCGCAATAATGTACAAGTTGAGTTTGAATTTCCTGACTAGTGTTTCCGACTTTCCGATTCCGTTATTGATTATGTTAAGAAAAATCAAGGAATTTTCTTAAAGACATACATTAACCACCAGATCAGCATGCACGGTGGAAGTACCTAAGCAATATTAACCTCACGTACAACTCAGAAGAAGACAATTAAACTAATATACAAGAAAAAACCCAAATGAATAAAACATGACCAACCCCCAGAATATGAAGAAAAAAAAAACTACCTAGGCTAGGTGTATGCATAAATTTTCACAATAAAAGTAAAATTATTTTTCAAGGCCAATATATATTTTTCGACAATTAATCGTTGAGATCTAAATGGGAATGGAAATGGAAGTTGATTGGAGAAGTTTTTGTGCTACAGAAAGTTGTTCCATTAAATTGATTACACGTGTCCTGTAAGCCCGAGCTTGGTTCACAGCCTCGGCTTCAAGCTCTCCTAGCTGAGAGCAAAGCCGCTCCTCAGCTTCCTCCGCCACCTTCAGCCTTTCCCATGTCTTTTTCAGCTCCTGTTTCATTTTCTCCTCCCTCTCCAAACTCTTCTTAAATTCTTTCTCCAACTCCTCATTTCTTCTCCGAAGAACCTCCGCCTCCGGCACGGCGGAGACCTCGCGGTGGTAGGATTTTAATTCGGCACTCGGAGCCATTCTATATTCTTGAATGAAGTTGCTCCTCCAAAAAAGTCGGGGTTAACTGGAACAAATATTGCTTCTGTTTTGTGGTTTGGAACTGATGCAAAAGACTATGGTGTTAAAGTGGGGTTTTATACACACATAGTGGGTATGTCCAGGTTCAATGTATCTGGCAACTCTTAGGACAAATACTTGAAACTCTGCTTTGCCTTTGGTTTATTAATTTTTAAATTGTTGATCTGGGGTTGGTTAAGTATACACATATAATTAGAGAGATGCAAATCTCTTGCTTTGTCCATCGATATAATAATAGAAACAGGTCCACTAGTCTACATCCTCGTTACCGGGGGATCCACGGTGTTGGTTGGGTTCGACCGAATTCAATAGTTTTTGTTTACATCTTATATTTATATTAAAAAATTGAATAAATATATACAAATTATTAATTTAAAACTCAATAATTTAAAAGAATTATAATTCCGATTCCATAAGGTTCAAATTCTAGCTACGCTTTACTCGTCAAACTCTCATGACTTTTATAGTGTGTGCGTCATTGGATACGAAAAATAGTGAGAAAATGCAAACCCAGCCCTCACCTCAAGTTCCGGGGCTGTGGTACTCACTTCTTTTCAATCCTTATATTTTAACTATGTACAACAACAACAATAACCCAGTAAAATCTCACTAATGAGGTCTGGGGAGGGTAGTGTGTACGCAGACCTTACCCGTACCCCGAAGAAGTAGAGAGGTTGTTTCTGAAAGACCCTCAGTTCAAGAAAACAAAAAGACAAAAGAACAAAAGGAGACAATATTAGTAACACCACAACCACAACAATCATAGGAAAAATAGGAACACCATGAAATCCAGAAGAAAGATGCAAAGCAAAGGGAGACAATATTAATATCATCACAGCAATCATAAGAAAAATAGGAACACCATGAAATCCAGAAGAAAGATGCAAAGCAAAAGCGATAGCTAGTAAATAGAACCTGCATTGAAAAGCGAAATAATAAGACACAACATTGCCACTAGCTATCTTAGACAAAAATCCTACATGGCTAGTCCCACAATGGTACGAAGTAAGGCACGACTCAACTACCTCCTAACCTACAACCTTAATACTCGACCTCCACATCTTCCTATCAAGTGTCATGTTCTCGGAAATCTGGAGCCTAACCATATCCTTCCTGATCACCTCTCCCCAATACTTCTTAGGTTGCCCTCTACCTCTTCTCGTGCCCTCCACAACCAGCCGCTCACACCTCTGCACCGGAGCATCTGGGCTTCTCCTATGAACATGTCTGAACCATCTAAGCCTCACTTTCCGCATCTTGTCATCAATGGGAGCCACGTGCACCTTCTCCCGAATATCATCATTCCTAATCTTATCTATCCTAGTGTGCTCGCACATCCACTGCAACATCCTCATTTCTGCTACTTTCATCTTCTGGATATGTGAGTTCTTAACGGGCAAACACTCAGCCCCATACATCATGGCCGATCTAACCACCACTTTATAGAATTTACCTTTGAGTATCGGTGGCACTCTCTTGTCACATAGGACTCCAGAGGCTAACTTCCAATTCATCCATCCTACCCCAATACGGTGTGTGACATCCTCGTCGATATCCCCTCTCCCCTGGATAACCAAACCAAGGTACTTGAAGCTGCCTCTACTCGGGATGACCTGCGAATCAAGCCTCACATCCACGCCCACTTTCCCTGGCTCAACGCTGAACTTATACTCCAGGTATTCCGTCTTCGTCTTGCTCAGCTTGAAACCCTTAGACTTAAGAGCCTGTCTCCAAACCTCCAGCCTCTCGTTAACACTGGCTCGTGACTCATCAATCATAACCATGTCATCGGCGAATAGCATGCACCATGGCACATCCCCTTGGATATGGTGTGTTAAAGCGTCCATCACCAGGGAGAATAAGAACGGACTGAGCGCAGAACCTTGGTGTAACCCCATTACAACCGAAAAAATGTTTAGAGTCGCCTCCTACTGTCCTAACCCGAGTCTTAGCCCCATCATACATGTCCTTAATCACCATAATGTAGGGAACCGACACACCTTTTGCCTCCAGGAATCTCCAGAGAACTTCTCTAGGAACCTTGTCATACACTTTCTCTAGGTCAATAAACACCATGTGCAGATCCTTCTTCCTCTCTCTATACAGTTCCACCAACCTTCTAACAAGGTGTATAGCTTCTGTAGTCGAACGATCTGGTATGAACCCGAACTGGTTGTCGGATACAGACACTGTCATCCTCACCCTCGCTTCAACTACCACCTCAAACACATTCATGGTATAACTCAGTAATTTGATACCCCTATAATTGTTACAACTCTGGATATCACCTTTGTTCTTTTACAATGGAACCACCATACTCCACCTCCACTCATCCGGCATCCTTTTCTCCTTAAAAATAACATAATAGTCAACCACTCCAAACCTTCTCTCCCCACACACTTCCAAAATTCCACCAGAATCTCGTCTGGTCCGGTCGCTCTGCCCCTACTCATCTTACACATAGCTCCCACGACCTCCTCAACCTCGATACGCCTGTAATACCCAAAGTCACAGTGACTCTCGGAATGCTCCAATTCGCCTAGCACAATATCCCGATCCCCTTCTTCATTCAGAAGTATATGAAAGTAAGTCTGTCATTTCCTTTTAATCTGGGCATCTTCCATCAATACTCTACCATCTTCGTCCTTGATGCATCTCACTTGGTTCAAATCCCGAGCCTTCCTCCCTCTCAATTTGGACAGCTGGAATAACTTCTTCTCCCCACCTTTTTTCCCCAATTTCTCGTACATACAACCATAAGTCGTAGTCTTAGCCTCCGTGATCGCCAACTTAGCCTCCTTCCTAGTTTCCTTATACCTCTCCATGCACGCTCACCTCTCCTCCTCACCTATGCTACCCACTAACTTCAGGTACACCGCCTTCTTTGCTTCCACTTTACCTTGGATCACTTTATTCCACCACCAGTCTCCTTTGTGCCCACTAGAGACGCCCGTCTAGACCTTTAACACCTCTCTCGCAGCTTCCCTAATACAGTCTATTGTCGCTGGCCACATAGTGCTCGCGTCACCACTACTCTTCCAAGATCCAACAGCCGACAACCGCCCCTCCAACTCTTGGGCTTTATCCTTAGTTAAGGCTCCCCACCTGATTCTCGGTCTTCCTCGAGTAGACCTTTTCCTCCTCTTTAACATAATACCAACGTCCATCACCAAGAGCCTATGCTGCATCGCGAGTATCTCACCCGGAATCGCCTTGCAATCCTTGCACAACACTCTGTCATACCTCCTGAGGAGGAGATAGTCAATCTGAGTCTTCGCCACCACATTTTGTAAAGTAACCAAATGCCCCTCCCTCTTCCAAAAGCTAGAGTTCACAATCACCAACCCAAAAGCCTTAGTGAAGTCCAACAACGATGTACCTCCTCCGTTCCTCTCCCCAAAATTGAAGCCTCCGTGCACCTCGTCATAACCACCTGCGGTCGACCCAATATGCCCATTGAAATCCCCTCCTATGAATAACATCTCAGCAAGCGGAACCTGGTGCACAATCTCATCTAACCCCTCCCAGAAGCGCCGTTTAACCTCCTTATCTAGGCCCACATGCAGCGCATAGACGATAACGACGTTTATGGTGCACTTTCCAACCACCAACTTAATAATCATCAATCTATCATTCACTCGTCTAACCTCAACCACAGACTCTCTAAGTTCCCTATCCACCAAGATGCCCACTCCATTCTTACCTTTTTGGACTCCTGAGTACCAAAGTTTATACCTGTCTACGTCGCTCGCCCTCGACCCTACCCATCTTGTCTCCTGGACACACGCTATATTGACCCTCCTCTTCTGGAGGATCTTCGCCAACGCTATAGACTTACCCGTCAATGTACCTACGTTCCATGACCCAATTATCAACCTATAGAAACTATTTTTCCCTTTACCTCCCTTGCCTCCCGCCCCACCCCCGTTTCCCCCGAGGACATGACCTCACTCGACCATCCCAGACTATAACCACTATACCTACGGCAGAGTAAGGGGAATCACTATCACACGCAAAGCAACAGACCAAACCAGAAGAAGACAAGTTGCAACAATAGGCACACTAATACGGTGAATAAACTAATACGAACTAAGATGAAAACAATTTAACTCAAACAACAAAGGAAAACTGTAAAACGGGAGGTACCAACTACCGTGAGTAAAACCTTGGAATTGTCTTTGCTAAAAGGATAAAAGCCAGTTGACCCAATATTAATAAATAGCAAATTCTAAGCAAGAACAATAGAACCTGAAGTCACAACGAGTGTCGAGAAAGGTGTTGTCCACAACAATTATGTTTTGGAATTTCCCGCCCGCTTCGCCCAAGGCTCACCGAAAAATTATCTCAGCCACCACCAACACCGCTAGGCTAGATCAGTGCATCAGAAAATAGGGGGACGGGGGTGGAAGAGACGAGGTATATGGGAGAGAAAGAAAGGAGAAGAAGAAAAGGGAAATATANGATCAGAGAGAGACGTTAGAGCTTCAGAGAGAAAGTCGTTAAGTAGAGCTGGAACATTTTCATCTTAACTATGTACGTGTTTTTGATTAAATACTGATCTAAACTAGGATTTAGTGCATGCACACAGAAAAGTGTTTTGCTAAACTAGGATGCGAAGCAAAACAGTGATCTAGTGGCACTAGTCCCATCATTGGTGCTAAACTAGCTAATGCAATTATCTTCCAGGTACCCCAAAATGCTCCAAGGGGGAAGAATATAATCTCTTCTTGTATCGGGTCCAAATATTTCCTTTTCACTAACTAATTACTTTGAGCACTGTAAGCGGAGGCACTCAGAATTTCTGGGGCTTGGTTGAACACGTGGTATGTGTCAAACATATGGATTTGTACTGTGAGGTAGTGAGAAAGGATCTTGAGCGTGAATATACATATTTTGACTCATGCAACGATGTTATATAAATGTTGTTGACATGTATCATGTCTTTATATGAGGATTAAGATATTGATATGTTATTTGATCTCCTTTATTTGTAAAGCATGCCTAAATTTTGTACGAACTGTGCTTTGATCTTTGTA